CCTCCATAACTCCGCTCAGAGAATCGTTCCGCAAATTTTGAAGATAGTTTTGAGTTTACCTCCCCAACACGGGTGCAATGATGTGCATCTCATTGCAAATGGTCAGGCTGACCTGTTGACCTTTCCTGGTAAGCAACATATATTTCTAGTTTCTTCCTAAGAATATTTCAGAAGATTTTCGAAGTTTAGGGATGTGTGGGGGGGGGTAGGGGATGAAGGGCACGATCACAGCTCCAATAGATGACGATTAAGCGAATAGTTCGAAACAACTATGATTGGACGAAAAGATCCGACAACTATGACTACAATCACATGCTATCACACGGCAAACACGATTTTTCAAGTCTGTTTGATCCCTCAAAGGTCGATGTAAAAAGGCAAAAATGGAGTGCAAATTGAAGTCCGACCACGAAAATATTTTCAAAGTGGTGAACCTACCAGTGCTGTTTGGACATAATCGGGCGAGCAGATCATAACGAATATCTCTTTCGACGCTCATCTGTTTTGCATGAATCTTCAGGATATGAGCTCTGCCAGCCAAATCTGGTAAAGCGAACTCAATCTTGCGATCTAAGCGGCCTGGACGAATTAGAGCAGGATCGAGTGTGTCTGGCCTGTTTGTTGCCATAAGTACCTGCAAACTGACATAGTCATGCTACAAAAGATAATCATAGAAACTAATGGTAAACAATATAAAGTCAAGCGGAGTGAAGCTCCGCAATATTATCTACCTTAATGTTGCCTCGTGGATCAAAACCATCAAGTTGATTGATCAGCTCCAGCATTGTACGCTGCACTTCATTATCACCTCCTTGACCATCATCGAACCTGACAAAGAAATACTACCGATGCCTGCATGCGAGCACTCTCAGCTTCTCAGCGTAAGGTTAACGGCGATTGTGGTGGAAAGTAGATGATGTTCGTGCCGATAATGCGCTTGCTACCCACCCCAAGTTACGCCTATAGGATCCCAGTGAAAATAGAGGTTACGCCTTTGCCGCCTAGCTTGCGCGGACGTCAGTACAAGTGTGTACGAAAGTCCAGCTGGAGAGAAGGGACAAGCTGGGAATGGGTTTCATGGCTCATGGTGAGCCAAGCACAGTTTTTCAACAGTCCAACAGTTACATCACCGAAAACGAGCTGGCGGGAATGCTGTTCGATTGTGCAAGAGAAGACGAGTAGTCCCTATTATGCTGATCACAACTAATGAGACAGGCACCAACCCTGCAAGAAAAGTGGGGGAGGGCTATTGATAAAAAAGAGGAATATATACCTAACTCAGCCGATGGACTTTCGTCCACATCAACGATACTTGGTCCAATAAAAATGAAAAAAAAGTGTATCTCTGATGAATAACGTACCGGGCCCCTCCAACTGCGTCAATCTCATCGAAGAAGATCAGACATGCTTTCTTCGATCTCGCCATTTCGAACAGTTCTCGTACCATACGAGCTCCCTCTCCAACATATTTTTGGACAAGTTCAGACCCGATTACTCGAATGAAGCACGCATCCGTCCTGCAAGCAAGGCAGATTTGGATATAAATTGACGTCAAAGAATCAGTTTCACACCCGAGATTCGTTCCGAATGTGAGCATGCTTTTCTAGAGGAACCTTTTGTTCAGAGGCCCGGGGAAGATATGGTAGACGGGGCGAATTCGTAGTCATCATCATCAAGAAAACACATCGGATTGTATACATCTCATTTTAAACAGCCATTCAACCTACAGCCCCTTGAGTAAAAACAGAATGGAAACCCACCATGACCTTAGTACTGACAGTAATGGACAAAAAAGGAAAAAGGATTCTGTGATTTGAGATGGTCATTAACATCCGCTTCTGCTAATTCTGGACTCACAAAATACAACCTATGTTAAGTGTTTCTGCTTTTTTTCTAGCTTTACGTCGCGAGCTTACTCCAACAGGCAGCTAGGCTTGGTGAGGAGGGAATTTCGCTTATTCTCCTTGATCGCTGCTGAAGAATTTCGTGGGGAAAAATACAGTAGGGATGAGCTTCGTTGGCATTTAGCAAGAGTCTACTGTCTGCAGGGTTCACCAGGGTGTGTTTATCAGAAACTAGCAGAAGATTCCGAAAAAGCAGATGCCCCCTCCCTAAGCCGAACAACGCCCACTTCCACACACACACAAACCGAAATCGAGAAGATGTGACACCCACCTGTTGGCTACGGCACGGGCACACAGCGTTTTACCAGTTCCTGGAGGACCATATAACAACACTCCTTTGGGAGGCTCAATTCCAAGATTGACGAATCGTTCTGGCTGAAAATACAGGTCATTCGACAACTCCAAAACCAAGGAATCAAGTGAAACTCAATGAATGATGGGGTGGTGAGTAAACGTACATGTAAAAGAGGAGTTTCTACGACCTCTCGAAGCTTTTCAATCTGGTCTTTACATCCACCGACATCGGCATAAGTGACATCAGGCTTTTCCTCTACCTGTAATAACAGCGGTGAAGAACCGCACTACGAACGCATTAATAAGGCACAATGTACCTGCATCATCGTAACTGTTGGATCAATTTTTGCAGGAAGTGGCAAATGAATTTGGTACTTATTCCGATCCACTCCGACCCTCATGCCCTCCTGAAATGACGTATGACATAGTTTCATCTCAACTGGCTCACAATTGCTCGATGCCCAAGAAACAGAAAGTTTTGGAAAAGAAAAAAAGCACGAATTAGATCACAAATATTGTCTACGGATTCTGCAAGTTAGAGCTAAGTAAAATAGTTATACCTCAATATCTGTAGGAGCTACAGTATCTGCGAGATCCACCACAAACTTGGCGAACTGTTTGACATTGATCATATATCTGGGGTCATGACCTTCACCCGTGATGATTTTTGTGCACCTGGCCACCTAAAAGAATAAAAATACCTTCTGTGGGTACAAAAGATGGAAAGCAACTCACTTGAAGGGGTTGTTCCTGTTGCATAGCCTGCTTATCCGCTGCGATGTCCCATAATGCTGGTGGAGCTAGACCAGTGTCAGATTCTTTCACTCCGGAGAGCTCGTTCACCTACAAGAACGAGTTCAAAACCACAACGGCTACTGAATGGAGGGAACTTCAAAAGTTCAGAATCGTAGCTGGGTGAGCAGATGAAGCAGTTCTAAGACAGCATCCCAAGTTTGAAAAGGGTTTATGAAATCAGAAGACCTACTAGAATAAGAACGAAAAGCCAGGGAGAAAGTGGAGGAATTACTGAAGATACTGGAGATTCAGAACAGCTCGTCATCGATCGACTCCTTTTTCAAGTGCTAAGAAATCTAGCATGTTCACCAATGCTTTCCTCTCACACACACGAGAACTTTCGGAAGACCGTTTCATACATGATGACTTTGAAGAAATGAAGAAGTCGTGAATTTGGGTGAAAAGCAGAATCCGCAGAGCTGCCGGCGACGAAAAAAGACTTGATAGGAAATCGGTCGTTCAGCCCCGTCCTCTGGGGTTGTCTAGGAGAAATGATTCCGCGGAATCGGTCAACTACCCTCTGTCATCGATTTCGCTGTTTTTGCGGAATCTGCATCCCTTCTTACTCCGCAGACGCTTCATTTCTCAAATCATCCATCCCCACCAACACGCCCCTTCTTCCGCAGCGAACAGAATCTTGCTTTATTTTCCGCAGATTCGTCATTTCTTCAAAGTGTCGTGTATAAACGCGACCTAAGGGGCTCACGAAAAAGAGAACAGTTGACACAGAGGGATCAGCTGGAGATGTGGATGGGATATAGGAACATCGGAACGGGACCTGTATTACCATAGTCGTACATATGTGCAAAGGGGAGTTTCATCAATCTCCACCACTTCCCGCTGTCGCAGAACAAACTGTCATCGAGTGGAACCCCCCCCCCCCCCATGAGCAAAAGAAGGCTAGCATGGCTCAAGATCGTGACCAATTCAACGGTTCGGACATCTAATGGACTCTCACAAAACAAACTACGAACCCTCTTCACACATTCTTCAATGTCAGTCTCCAGTTGTTTGAGCTGTTCGGCATACGGTCCTTGACCATACCGCTTCAATACTGCTATATCACCTTCATCAAGTGCTGAAATACGTTTGATATTAGTTAATCAAACGAAACAAATCCCTTACATCTCACCAAATAAATCCC